GGCGGATGTAATAATTCCCGCCTCATTCTGATTGGTTGCTAAGCTGAAGGGCACATTTACGAAATTGAGTTGCGTTTAATTGCAGCCGAGTTCGCCACAGACCAACCTCAAATTGTTGCAACGATATGACAGTGAGAGCTATCAAAAGAAAGCTGGCCGTGACATACTTACTCTAATAGACTGTCAATCACGGAAGCCCGTTAGGTAAAAGCTTCTTCTATTCTATCTACAACCATCTGAACCATTTGAATCAATCTACTTTGTCTGCTTCGAAAAGACTGAAGTATACAGTTGGCGGGGTGAATAACCTTGGAACCGGCTTTGAGTTAGAGCGCACTTCAATGTTGACGTTCGAACCAATCAGTCGAATAGCTGTTGTAAGTATACTCTGTATATTTTAATATGATTGCTTGTCAGAAAATAAATAAATTTAGACCCAGTCTGTGCATCGCTTTTAAGTGAATTTAGCCTTAAAAAGATGTAAGGCATTGTCTATCAATTGTCATCTTTTGACTCATGAGGTAGTCATGAGTTTATTGTTCTAATGCGTCCACGTAACTTTACTTCATCTCAGAAAATTTTTCCAAAATACCCATCCATCAACGAACATTCCTTCGGTCGGTTTTATATAATGAAAACACTTATTAGGAGACCATATAAGTCCAAAAGATTCATAAAAGATCTGATTTCTATACCTCTAGGAATAGGTTATGACCTTCGTTATTGATAAAGTCTGAATTATGTAGCACTTGTCCTCAGTGGGCGAACATGTCTTTTTCAATATGATTACATGGCGAGACTATAACTTTTGGACGAACCAACCAAATGCTGTCTACCTACTTGAATCAGCAGACATTTTTTGGAAAAGTAAAAACATTATCCAATCAGTCCGAAAACTAACTATGGTTGCCTTGCTTGTGGTTGCGTCTTCTCAGTTGTTAAAATACAACGATGAGTAAGTCCTTTCTCCAGGAATGATCACGTCATTAATTTGCCGAAGGAGACTAGCTTTACGTGTCGAAGGGCAGCGATTAAACGGTCTTCAAACATCCGACTCAGATATGAGAAACCGTAGATGGTTAGGAATGTCCTAAGAAAACCATCGATGAACGGTCAATAACTGTCCAGCACAGTGATTTTTAGGGTTAGCAATTTAATATGTAGAAGTTCGGACAACCAAATTTACACAACACAACGGTGACTGTCGTTGTTGCGATTACCAGGCGTACATGCTACTATGGTAAGTGGTATGTCTTGGTTTCTCCCGTCCGTCAAACCCAAAAAGTAATCAGGCCTCTCCACATAACGTCTATTAACTCCAGGAATCGAGGGGATCTGACCAAAACCGTTCAGATCTGATACTTCATCAGTATTGACGTACACTATCAGGTAATGTGTCATGAAAACTAGTCTAGATCGTTAAGCCATAGTCTAACCAACTAAACAAAATGAACCCTAGTGTCGGTTGACCTCGATCAACAACCCATTATCCAGGACATCGAGAGCACAACAGCACAAGCTGAACTTGCAGATGAAATAATGTACCAACCTGCCCTAGACTAAGATCTGTTGGGAATGCCGCGAGTGCTGTGAATCTACCATCTTGACTCATCTCAACAGTCAATGGCTTAATGGACTGATACCACGTTTTGTTTAAACTTGAAATTGAATGACTGGCCTCGGTTCAACCATCACTTTCTTTTTTCAGCTAATTGTCGTCTGTCGGTTTAGGAAGTGGTCCGACTTATGCAGTGTTCGTACCTCGTTAATCGATTCCTCAGTTTACCTAGTACCCTGTTTCTGACAGCAGGATTATTAACTTAGTCTTTCTACGAGATGCGAGCAGCACTTCGAAGACAGCCATGATAAAAGCATGCAGCCTACAGATGTCTTATACTTTCATAGACAGTTTCAGTCATAGAGTGATATAAAGCGGACTGGTGCACAGTATACTCGCTTCTTGACTGAAAACCGATATCTCACTAGTATTAAAATCTAACTATCTAGTATTGAAGTAGATGGGATGTTATTATAGCCTAAAACCTTTTGATTTAAAACTGAGTACTTCAGTCTCCCGCTTAAGTTGGTTTGTACGAATTCATCGACTGGTTTCGTTTGCACTCATTCTTTTTAGTTTCACTGCAAACAATGTCTTATATCACGTCGGATTACCTTTCAGCATATATAACGCATACTCTTATCGTCTTGTTCAGTGCATATTTTCATTGAACGTTTGATGTTATTTATCCATTTACCGCCATAGTTATATGTAGGAGAATGTATCATATTTCTTCGTATTAACTTAGCAAGTTTGTTAAATAGCTGCTTGTTCACTGTGACCTTATGTAAATTTCAATGTAAAATAATTATTCAGTCTTACAGGTATTGTGCTGCTAAACATTGACAAATTATTTAAGATTACTAACCGATTCAAATCATTATAAGCAGAGATGAGTAAAGGTCAGCAGTGTAATCCAGGAATCCCGTTTCGTCCCATTTGAGACTCGTCGTCTAGATGTACCTGAATTCCAGCATGAGATTCAACTATGGGATCCAGGTACATCCAGCTGATGAAACCTAAATAGGACGAAACTCAAGTACTGGATTACACTGCTAGCCACCATTCATCTCTGCTTATAATGCTTGCGACTCAGAGCAATTTCGAGGCAATTCACATATGTCAATAACAGACTGATCGATTGCAGCCCTCAACTTTATTTAAAAAAAATGCAAACTACCAATACAAATGATTCAAGTTATGTTAGATCTTTCTGTAATTTTATTTATCGATATATCAAAATTTTAGCATTACTTTCACTTGATCCTCCTTTCTGTTTTTCAGGTCAAATGTTTGGGACCACGTTTAGTTTTATTCTTTAAAACATTTGCTTTATTCTATGTTCTTTATCCGAAATATGAGTCGACTGTGGGTTATTGTGTTTTCAAATGCGCACCTATTTTATCACTTGTTGCATTTGTTTATATGTATGGGGTTAAGATACCAAACAATCAAGCCTATTCTTTAAAAATTTTTCTTGGTCTTCTATTCTCTTGTCTAGGCGATGCATTTTTGGTATGGCCTAGTCTTCTTATTCCTGGCATGGCTATGTTTGCCATTACACATATATTATACATTTACGCATTTGGTTTTCAACGTTTAAAACTATCTATATTGTTCATTTTACTGCCAATACTTCTCTGTGTATGTGTTTCTGTAAAAGAAGGACTAGACGGTATCAATACACTTGTTATTCCAGCTTATGGATTAATATTAGTAATTATGGTATGGCGTGCATTAGCCCAATTAACTAAACATGAATATTCTATACCATGGACATGTATAGCTTCTGCCGTTGGTGGATTACTATTTGGTGTATCTGATACTATATTGGGAATTTGTTTATTCTCTAGCGATATATCGTCATTTAAATGTAATTTAATTTTACCAACGTATTATGCTGGTCAGTTGTTGATTTCTGTATCTGTTGTTGATAGCCATTTAACATCAATAAAAACGAGTCCATATCATGAAGATAAAAAGCAGTAGTAGTTGCGTTCCTTTATTAAATAAAAAGCCTTTTCTTCCATCACCTGTTTATTTTCTCTGCTTTTTGACATATATTTGTCTTCATTACTTCTTTGTACTTTTTAGCTTGCTTATTATTTCACGATGTGTTCATATTGTTGTTCATAGTTGATGATAAATAAATAAACGCTTATTTTTGCATCTGTTATCTTGTTTTATTACACACCTGTCTATGTATGGCATTGTTTCTTGTTAACTAAATCATACTTCAATCAGATGTGGTAGGTAGTATAAAGGGAGTAAATTTTCAAAATAATCATACAATAAAATACTACACGGTATCAAATTTAATTTGAAGTTTTCTTTAATTGGGGAGATTTTGTCATAGTATATTTTCAGGTTTCGGTCAACAATAGAGCCAAGGATGCATGTTTTGTCCTATTTAGGACTTGACAACTAGACGTTCATGCATCATACTAGAGCTATAACCTAGTATTTATCGCTGCGATGCGGATTCATACATTTGATAACTCCTTAGTAATATGAAATACGCCTCTTGAATTTTGGTGCCCATCATAATTCAAGAATTTACCAAAAATATCCATTTCTAAGCAATATCGATGCATCCATTGAGGATGTTTATGTGTTCACAGAGGTTGTGTTGAATATCAACAACCGGAAAATACAAACTCTTTCAGATAGCCGATTATGGTTTGATACAGCTCTTAGTGCTTCACTTTCTAATAAGACTATTCAGAGGGCTAGTATCCGTAAAATATACTCCTCATTAATTTGTTTTTCATTGATAACGGATTATCAGCACTACTTTCTTCGAAATAAAGTAGTTGTTAGATTACTTGCCATATCAAAAGGTGTGGCTACAATTGATGTTCACTTTTGCATTCTGTAAATATTAATCATAGGTTTATCTTTGACGTGTGGTTAAGTTACGACTGACTTTATGCTTCTACTTTTGTATCAGACTTCGTAGTTCTCTGTAAAACAAAACTCAATGTACAGAAGAAATCGGCGCCTGTCTCAATTCTTCTGAGGTACGAAAAGTTCTAGAGAGAATACCATCTCGTTTATCCTTCCCATTCTATCCGACCGATACTTATGGGCTAATAAAAGTATTAGGATTTCATGTCTTCCTTTTATCAAGTTTTATGACTTTAGTGTTATAATTCCGGTTACCTTTGGGGTTAGTGGTTCGGTTCCTATAGTTTGTGGGTTTCTATCATTATTTCCTTACACAAATAGCGAATGTATTGAAGGAATAAGTGTTTGCAATCGTATGACTCGTTTTATTAGCACTTTCCTTAGAGAAGCAAAATTGTTTGACAAAGTTTGCAGTTTATCTCTGCCTTTTTTCTCAATTTAGGACAAATAATATTTTATAAAGAAAGAGACACTTTAAAACTTGTTTGCATTTGAAGAATATTCTTTTAAGATAAAATCAATTCAATCGGGGTCCATGCACAGACGCAGTGATCGTTTGTTTCCTATTCATCCCCATAATTTGAATAAAGTTATACAAGATGAATGGAATACTATTATACAATGGTTATGTGATGTTTTATCGTCTGGTGATATCATGTGTGAAATTAATCCAGTATTTACTACTATTCAAAGGTTAGTTATGTCGATACTATTACATTTAATAATCATTTTATTAATCTGGTTCTTAATCCACAGTGTATATTTGGAAACGTTTCGAGGAAGCGTATGTACTTTGATCCTTAATAACCAAATTTCATTCGCTTGTACATGAAATATTTAATTGTGAAATAGATCACTTTTTAGTGAGATAATTCAAAAGGACTTAATTTGCTGAGAAGCGATACAAATTTATGTTATGTGATAGCGACCTCAAATTAAATTTACACAACAACAATCTAGACATTGGGGTGGTAGCTTAGTAGTTGGGCCACTCGGCTTCCAACCAATAAGTTTCGGGTCCTAACTTCTTTCCATCTACTTCAGTTTGGGCATCCGAGTAGTGTCTCTACCACCCATGCATCCAAAGTATCGCTTAAAACTGAGCAAACAAACATGTACTTGGCAATTAAGCTACAATAAGGTAGATCATAGATCTAAACTTAACTCTTCTATGTCAGTCTGAAGGACACACATTAGTACAGAAATACTTTGCAGAATCGAATTTACAGATTAGTCGATATGACCACACTGATAAGTTTCTCGATAACCCATTCAAATCGAATAGATTTTCTAAAACAGAGTCACTAAATGACTGAATTTATCACTAGAGAATCTATTATGTTATCTTTATACGAGATATTCAGCTAACGGAGTATGCTTTAACAATGATTAATGGGAGGAAGCCGAAAAAAACCGATCAACCTGTAGTACCGCATCCATTGTATTACCTATGAACATACATTATTGTTTAGATTGTGCAATCATTCTAATGTTTATTCATAATCAATGAAATGTCCTTTTTTATCGCTATCCCTCTAGATTTATCAATATATTTGGAATGCGTTTATCCAAAACACAACGCATTGCTTTAATTCGTCTAACTGTAGCTTATATATGTTGTCCAAATATTGATACGCAGGTTATATTCAATGCGTTAGAGCTTTTAAACAAGTTGATGAGGTATGAGTATATATGTGTATGTGCATTTACTCAAATACTTAATGTTTCAATCACTTTGCATTTTTATTCAGTCGTAGGTATAGATGATTAACCTATAATTAGTGAGTTTTTAATTCTGTGCATTACAGATATTGCTTATAATATAGAGTTAGTCACTCTGTCGTAGGCAACTTCGAACGCGGCATGAATTCGTAACTATTCAGGCTATAACATATCAGTATACAAATGGAGACCATATGTTTAGGTAGACGATTTCACATCGAGACTGACCGTAAACCCCTGCAGTGGTTGGAAACAACAAGAGACCCCCGAGGGAAGTTGGCGCGATGGGTGATACATCTACAAGAGTACGACTTCAGTATCGGCCATGTTCCAGGAAAGGAAAACGTAATGGTGGATTATTTGTCAATACCAGACATGGAAACCGAGCTTCCATTGACAACATATGCGGTGAATAGTTTTGAGGGAGACCCACTATAACTCGTCCGAAAGCAGAAAGCCGACCCTAACCTTCAAGAGGTAATCCGAGTGATAAAAGAGGGAGCAGACGTCGACAAACGAACAATGGACAAAGAGGTGGTAATGCTGCTTCGGCAAAAGGAACGACTAAGAGTAAGCACATATGGAGTCCTGACCTGATTGGTGGCATAAGATGATCCATGAGTGTCACCAGGTATCGCAAGGACGACGGATTTACTACGACAAAGTGCATACTGGCCAGGCATGAGAGACGATATGACTCAGTACGTGTTAACTTGCCAGCAGTGTCGACTAATGAAAGGCCATCGATACACACAATCGCCATTACAGTCAATTCCAGTAACCGCAGTCGGTGATCTATGATCGGTGGATGTGGTGGGATAGTTTACACAGACGGCGAGCGGTAACTAGTACCTGCCAGTGATGACGGAACATGCTACATGTTGTTTAGATGCCGTACCCATTGCATACCAGCGGGCAAAAACAGTGACCGAAGTGGTAATCCGGCATAATGTAGCGTGACATGGAATATCAAAGATTATATTAACCGACCAGGGTCCCTGATTTGAAAGTGACGAGTTTGAAGCTCGTCTAAAGCAGTTTGGCATCAAGAGGATACGAACTACATCGTATCATCCTCAGACAAACGGGCTTATAGATAGAAACAACCGAACGTCAAAGGAATGGTAAGCATCTAGAGGAGGAAATTGGGAGAAAGAGTTACCATTGGTTTTGTTGGCACTTCCTGCTTATGTATGGTAGATAGTCACGATAAGACTTGGCCACAACAAGGTTAAGAAAAGAGAGGATGGAGGCAATAATGAACGTGGAAAAAAACAGATATCAGGCATAAAGAATGCGGAACAACAGAAGTAAACGTAGAAGCCTTTTGCAGAGGGGATCTGGTAAAGTGTAGAGTACGAAGAGTTAAATAACAGGCGGATCAGTGTCAGGAAAGTTCATCCCGAAGTTAGAAGGACCGTACATTGCCACGGAGAGACCTGGCTCGGTTTACACAAACCAGAAAGAAGACAAACAGAAGCGCGTAAATGCCAGCTAACTGCAGAGGTGGTTTTAAGATCATGAGGCACCAAAGAAGACAGCAGTACGGCAATCGGAAAGACTACGATGACACCTTATTCAAAGGGGGGACGAGTGTAGTGTGTACTACTTATATTGACATGAGTAGTGTATAACGCGAGTCAGGAATATAATATGTCGCAGCAGGAGATTGAGAATATCAAGAAGGGAAGAAGGGGAAAAGAGAGTAATTGGTATGGAAATGCAGAAATAATGAAGTCTGGAAAATTAATGTCCCACTTATCTTAAAAGTCTCATCAGCCCTTGTGATCTGGTGTGTGACGAAATCTCAGCACGGATACGGAAGGCTCGACTAGCTTTTACCAACTTGCGTCACTCATGGCGTAGGCGAGATATCCGCATATCAACCAAAGGACATGTTTACTGCGCAGCAGTTCGTTCCTTCCTACTTTGTAGCAGTGAAACATGGTCGGTAAGAGTAGAAGATAAACCTAGGTTACTAGTATCTGACCATAGGTGTCTTCGAAATATTGCTCGTATATCATGGGACCATCGTGTAAGTAATGTAGTTGTTAGGACACGGGTACTAGGTAAGGATGGCAAATCAATTCATGAAGTAGTGAAACCTCATCAGCTGAGACGGCTGGGACATGTGTTACGTATGCCTAACCACCGACTGCCTCGACGTGCGATGTTTTACGGTGTAGGAGTAGGTTGGAAGAAAGCTAGGGGCCGCCAGACCAAAGCATGGCACAAATCCACGAAGTCACTGACAAATGGACTGATCCATGTTGGTAGGTGTAGACTACATGGTTGGGATTTACGAGACGATAGCAACCGATGGTTAGAGACCCTGAATGACATGGCTCAAAATCGTTTGCAATGGCGCAGGTGCATCTACTCTTTGTGTTCTCCCAAATTCTAATTTACTGAATTCCTCATGTCCCTTTCTTTTTTCTCTTTCCAAATTTATTTCGCTGGATTATACTCCTTGAATAACATCTTCAAATCCTAATGTTTCCGACTACTGCTTATACTCTTACCACCTCTACCACTACGGGATTTGAATCGACAACTGCATCTCTGTGCTAATGTGGTGTGGCAACTCGAACTGATGTACGTACGTACGAAGTTCTACGTTGTTACTTACTGACTGACTGGAACAATTAATGAACATTTTGCAAATTAAGCATTAGAGCATGATTTTTCTATCTTACCAAGCAACTGTAAATTTGTGCTAATTATAATTTGGTTTTCTCAACCTGAGTTTTCCTTCAGAAGGTTGTGTGTTCGAATCACATCAGGCTCACCAGTGTAAATCACCAGCGTAGGTGATCTATGTCGAATGATTGGAGGCCTACTGGAGTAAGATGAGAATGTTGTGACGAACCAGCTAATTTCGAAGTCACACCTCGTGGTCAGCACCTTACGTGGACTAAACAATTGACGTACCAACGTACTATAGATGCTTTGAAGACTGTACAACACAAAGGACGTTATTACAGAAATATATCATTTAAAGTAGATACAAGCGGAATTAAGGCCACCGCATGGGCCAGTCCATAGCGTACGATTGACTGATACGCGTCGGTTGTAATTGACCTTGACGAGGTCGATGATTCGTTCGATATTCAATAATCCAATTGCCGGATGACTTGGCTAGGGCCCAGTGAAATTTCACTGTCCCTACAATGTCTTGATTTCATATAGTTAAATGACATCTTGTCTTGTGGAACTACATAATTTGGAAATTTACTTGATTCTTGAGCTCACTTCCCCTATAGTGTGGTATAAGCGTATTCACTAACTGTGTACTGATTAAGAATAAGTCCCTCTCATCTAACACAGAGCAACTTCTTTTTCTGTGACCTTTAAAACAAAAAACAAATTATCCCAAGCTCTCAAACGGCAATTTGAGAATACGTTGATCATTACCTAGGCTATTTTACGCAATCTAATCATTCTCAAAATCAGCCAGTTCATACTTCTATCGTTTATAATTTGCAGATTTAAAAAAGGCCTTTGTTAAATAGCTATGACAGCCTTATGCTTTCATTCGAAAAAGAACGTGAATTACCATTAATAAAAGTAGGTCGTCATATTAATCGTAAACGACGTCAGTCATGATCATATTTATAATGAAATAGTATGTCAAAAATCTCAGATTTTATTATCTCATTATTTTCCGATGTAACGAATTAGAAAAGTAAATAAAAGAACACAACAACCAACATCCGTTATATGAACTGGGATTACAGAAATTGTAACTTTGAGGAGTCCAGGTGCCAATGGTAAACTTTAGAAATTTTGTGAATTAGGATAAAATCAACTTCATTACCAGAGAGCTTTTAGCTCCCTTTAAATAAATATACAATTTTAAAATCTTTAACAAGAAAGTTCTTGCCGTAAAATTTTCTTTTTTTAACAATATTAACGACAAATTAATACTTCCACTGAAGAAAAGCGATGGTGTGACAACCTGCATCCAGAGGATGATAGAAAACCGCTTCATTCTAGTGTGGGAAATCTCAAAAAAAGCATCAACTGACTTACTATGATGAATGGTCAAATAATACCACAGACCGACAATTTTAAAACATTGAACTTAGGCTTCGTAGTAGATGGATAGATCATCCAGCACTTGTCAGATAGAAATTTTATGGGTTCAATTATGCAGAACTTCTAGCGCAAACTACTCACAAATTAATTTTTCTTGTGAAGTCATTTTGAATTCGTGAAAATCCGCTTTTGAAGGTGATGCTACATCATTATTTCATCTAAAGATGATAAAAGATCATTCTTGATTATCGAAAGACAATCAGTATCACAGGATGTAAATAAAAATAATATATTTGTAATATCCCAATGAGTAGAAAATTGGATTTTCTGACGTTTCGTGGCTTAGTGTAAGTCACTTCTTCAGAGAATAAATAACCAAATTAAAATTAATCCAAGTTTAAATAGTACAACGGAACAATGCAAGAATAATATTTGATCAATCAAAAAACAGGTCTGAACAAGTTGATGTCATGTCATTTCTGTCAAGGTGATTCATAAGTGATAAGTATGTAAATTTGTGTGTGTATGTATATGTGCATTGTTTAAGAATGAAAACTTATGTGACCTTTATGGTAAGAAAGGATAGAGTTTAAATTTGTGAAATTGTAAATACGATCAGACTGAATGGTTAGGATAGATGGTCCAAGTAGGGTGTATGGTAAGGCCTTCTTTTCTATTGAGAGAAGTAGGATTAAGCATTATGTGGAACGCCTCAGCTACCCTCCTTTCTTTGTAGTTGGAAAAGCCTTTTTGCAATATTTTGATATTTTTAATATCGATTTGGTGGTTGTTGAAAATGGCATGAACTGCTATTGCCGATTTAATTTGAAGTTGGTTCAATTCTACCGGATTGTTAGGAGGTTTCTTTGTGTACCTAATATGTTCTTTGGCTCTAGTCACGATTTCGCGGGATGACTCTCCAATATAATAGGCATCACAATCGATACAACCTAATTTGTAGACGCAGTTCTGTGTGGACATGAAAGGGATTTTTTCTTTCAGGCGAACTAAAGTATTACGTAGTGTGTTCGTTGTTTTGTAATACACTTTAATTCTGTGGTGTTTTAAGATTCTTTGAATTTCTTCTGTTGTGCCATGACGGTATGGTAGAACTACAGTACCAATCCATGGCATTTCATTCGAAACATTATTATAATGTAATAAATTGTTTTGTTTTAATATGCTTCTAATAATCTTCATAGGAAAATTATTAAATTGTAAGGTACTAATTATATTCATTTGTTCTTTTCGTTTGTCTTCCTCTGATGTGATGATCTTGTTAGCTCTTCTAAAAAGATTTAAGGCTAGCGAGATCTTAGCACTGAAAGGATGTGCTGAATGGAAGTCAATATAACGATTTGAATGCGTCGGCTTTCGGTAAATGGATAAGTTTAGACTTCCATTTGGATTTCTTTTTACTAAGCAATCCAAGAATGGTAGCTCACCATGAGCATTTTCATTTTCATTGGTGAATTTGATTTGCGATGAGAGTGTATTAATTCGTTTTGAAAAAGATCTTAGACGAGTCTTTTTTATAACCACAAATGTATCGTCTACATATCTAAGCCAAATTCGTGGTATAATGTTGTGGGCGAAGATATTTGATTCTATGTATGCCATAAAAAGGTTGGCTACAATCGGGGACACGGGGGATCCCATTGCTACTCCGTTAGTTTGTTTGAATAAAATACCGTTAAAAGTAAATAGCGTTGAATTTAAGCAAAGTTTTAATGATTTCATGATTAGACTGATGCTCAACGGACATCTGTCAGGAAGAGTATTGTCGTTCTCAGGATGTGACCCTTCAAATCAGAAACATTAACTGAGGTTTTAAAAAGCGTCGCCAGTGTTAAAACAAGGAGTTCGTTAGTCAAAAAATTTGCGGAGATAAAACTGAATGTCCAAACAACCAACCGGCAAATTTCGACAGAATATAACTTATATAATAAATACGTCACAAAGAATCGAATGATTACCCACTTCTTACTACAGTGGCAACTAGTACAAATATATATTTCCAAAGTACTCAAGAACAACACTAATCATTTCTCTAAAACATGTTTCGAAACATTTGCTTCTAATTCATTTAGACAAAGTTACATTCGGAACTTCGAATTCGAAATACGCAGTCTAAAATTGTTATACTTTAATTTCTAACTAAACGCATTTTTCTCATTGATAATTATCTAGCCTAAATAGAAAACCTGCCATTAACAGTCTAAGTAATCATAAGCATTACTGTCGAAACGTTGATAACACAATAATCATGTAACATGTATTAATGAACAAGAGCTGTTGGAGAGTTTTGATAACAGTTTGAAACATGCACATTCCACATACCGAGATCAATATCGCTATTCTCTTTCCTAAATGTTATTTCCATGTGTAGTCGGTGATCTTGATCAGTGAAGTGTCTATAAACATAGGTGCAACGCATGGAATTAACAGTCTTACTCATTATGTCAACAGTTCCCACTGCGTTTTCACACCGAAACTGTCTTTAACAAGTCTCGATGTAGTGATTCTAGTGAATTTACCCACCGTTGTGCTGTCGAGTTTGACATATCTAGAACCAGACATAAAGAAGTCTGTGGTTTGTAATCCTCCGAGCCAACGACTGTGTTCCGTAACGGTTAAGCCCATTACAGGTATATTCAACAATGTTTTCGATGTAATACCACGGTTAGTTGATGTTCGTTCTTTTCATCTAAGCCTATACATTATCCAAGTTATTTGAACTCCACTAGATTATTCAGTAGAAAATTCATCTTACTTATTTATTCAACTTTAGATAAAACTACGAAACCTAGTTTGGTGATTATGTGATTCCCCAGCCTAGATTTTCGGATGGCTTCCCGATGTTGATTAGTTAATATATTCTTTGTGCAGTGCTTATTTTGGTTGGTTACACCAATCAACTAGTGTCGTCCTAACTCTCTTAAGTTCTGCCTTCCTTGAGAGTACCAAGGTTCGTGTTTGTGTAAATCAATTCATAAACTAAACAATGTTTAAATGACCCACATTTTTATGTCAATCATAAAACTTAGGACCTGGTGACAAACTGTTGGGATCTAACGCGTACTCAGTTACACACACCAACCAGACTAACTTCCCCTACAATGCATTTAATTCACATGATTTACTTCCTCATTAATACTGAACGCGAACTGACGTTTAATTACGAAAAACTGCCCTTTTGGAAATGACCTGCCTAATTTACAAACGACACATATCGTAACAGATGCAGAAGTCCACCATTCCTAACAAAACTTTGTCTAATTCACTACTATGCTTTATTTTGGCCTTTATAAAATAACTTCGGAATTATAAGTACAGAGCCTGGTGTCGAAGTTGCCGAAAAAATTGTTCGTCCTAATATTTTGGGTTTTGAATATCTTGTAAGGACTTCTAAACTGCTATCTCAAAACACTAAACTCCACACAACCTAAATTGTTTATGCCCTTTACGAACTTATGTGTTTTCATCCCTCTCTCCCCAAACTGTTTTAAAAAAGCTTCAAATAAAAGTAGTGCATTTTGACAACCCTTATTTAGAGCTAATAATTCGCAAAACACCGAAACTTTTATTTCCAAAAAGGTGGGAAAAAATCTGAATTTTTTGAACGTGACAATCTTTTTCAATACAAAGAACAAAAAAAGTAGCTAGATTTTACATCGTAACTATCACAGACAAGTGGGAAAAATGCGAAAGAACCAAATGGACAAAAGTATTGCAAAGTTAATGTCCTAAAAACTCCAAGTATTCGGAGTAATTTTCAACTGACAGCAACGTATTTCGACAATTTTTAAGAGGCAGGCGAACGCGAAAATCAAATCAGTTACTAAAGACTCAATAGCAAAAATTGAAACAACTAGACAGATAACTTATGTCTGAAGTTCGACTCCGATGAAGAATTTTGGAACGAATTCACGCTACTTATCTTATTGTTAGTAGTAGTACCGTGATTATTTGAAGGCGGGTAAGATGAATACAAAATAGTTGCAACAACCACTAAGATAGCACCAACATAAAATAAAACAGTCGGATTAAAATCAAACCAGAATGTCGATAAAATAAAAGTAAGCACAATAGCCAATGACGTGGCAAATCCTTTTCGTATATTATCAGCATAACGAATAGTTGCAGCGATCAGTAAACCACCTAATGATTGAATCAATATTGCTGCCCATACAACAGAGTCGTAACCAAAAAAGAAACCTTTAATAGCAATTTCTTTACCATCTTTCAAATAGACTGTCAGGATACCGGCTGTAACACCGTAGAATGCCAACTGTATATTACGTATAGCTACACTTTTATGACTACCCTTTAATAATCTCTCAAAGAAAACACCAGCAAAACCCGAACAACTACAAGCTAATATAACAGAAGAAAGACCGACAAGTAGATTATTATTTTCTGCAATATTTGTAGTTTTCTCAGAACTAGAATTCACTACATCACTTAGTTGTGTTAATACAACACCGGTGAACAGAACACCCAAGGAGCACCATTGTATCCGACTTAAATGTTTCGATAAGATTATTCTAAAGAAGATCGCTGTTGTGAAAATCTTCAATTGATATGATATCTAAAAAAAATAATGGAAGCCGTGTACGAAAAACAATGATAAGGGCGATGAGATTCGACAGATATATAAATTTTACAGAATAAATATAACTAATTACTTAATATCGAATGAAAAATGACTATGCAACTCAGCAACCAAAATATGAACTTTACATCCATGTCAATGATATACAAACCAAATCTGTTGTATATTATATCTCAGGGTTTAAGCTCTCACACTTTTTTAGGAATTTACGTACACTTGTAGGGGCTTGTGCACGAAATCCATCAGTCTTTAGTTTAGAAAAAAATGGTCTGTTTTCTACTTATATCCTTTTAGAAAAACTTTTGTTTGCAACTGACTTGTCAGAGGTGAACTTCCTAGATAGAGACCATCAAATTTACTTACACTGATAGTAAGGTTCCTCGCTGGTGAAGATACTAGTAAAGTAATCTTCGAACCGTGTATTTCTCACTTTAAATGCAAATTGTTGCAGCAAAGTTGGCTTAACCTATTATCTAGTCTGATGATCCCGAGTGAATTGGTATCGAGTCTCAACCATCACAAATTCTGATTTTATCGTACCAGGTGAGCCATTTGTGACTCACAAAATTTGCAAACGAAAAAATAACTTGGCTACATCCAACCTTTAAGTATGATCATTTGACTGCAATTCTTAAAGACACTGAAGTGTGATGTCTGAAAAAACCATTAAAGGATGCTGAGGCTAAATACATAAAACTGGGTAAAAATACCGAATGGGTTGGCAAAGCTTTAGTGATGATGAGACTGAGAAAATGGTATATATGATGGTTAACACATCAATCGAAAGTAGGGGATGTTGTGACAAACCTAATAAACCTCCAAATGCCCTGGATAGGCCTATGATGGGTAGAGTCAGCCCTCCCTCTTGAAATGCTTTCACATGGCCACGCGTATACAGCCACTGCCAGGAAAGTCCTACTCACTGCATTCTAGCGGTACTACTGTTGTTTACGAAATTGAGGATGAAAATCGAATGTCTGGCGCTCTAACCGGGCTGGTGGATACAGAGGATTCACCTAGGAGAGTTGGAAAACTCTGACTCCAAACCAATGGTGCACATGGGCCCCAGTATCCTGAAGGAACAAATAGCGTATGAACTAATCGTTGTCACCGGCTGGGACTGCATCTCCTATCGTTGATCCACTACCTAGTGAATCAGACCTCTAGTTAAAAGGCTAGGGGAGTGGCCCCCTAAGAAATCCACCTGCTTCGGTTTGGGGACCTGGGCAGTATCCAAGCACTCGCACAAATCGAATGATTTATGCAGTGCATATCTATTTGGTGCCTCGTACCAATGTTTATATGTTTAAATAATAAATAATAGTAATAAACGCTTTAGATGGCCCGCATAGTGGAGACATGGAAATACAATGGATCACAGCTTGTCAGTAGCAAAGACAACTTAGACTTAGGCTGACAAAGAGTTTGCGCAGTTATCATGAGCAGCTAAGACAAAAAACGATGGAAATGGCAAACAGCAAACGACTTTTCAGATTTACCACAGAAAGAGGTATTTAATATTCAAGTTAGTAGGCCTGTTTCTGAAAACGATGGAACAATAATTTACTTTAAACCAAGGAAACTGAGTGATGGATAGAATACTTAGAACAGTTTAACTTCTCTTCGGCTACTATTCAAGTGTTCAATCTTATCAATTAACCTGAAGATTAACTCCCGATCCAACTCTTAAAAATATAGAAAAACGCATAGCAACGGAACTCCGCCTGTAGCTCTTATAGGGTTGCTGCCGGTCCCAAGCCCGGGTAAAGGAGGAGGGTTGGGCATGGGGTTAGCGTCCCCATCCCGTAGAAAACTAACTCGCTAAAAAAACGCTTACCAGAAAAAATAATCCAAACCATTTTAACTCTGCCCTGGGAGTTAGAAGGTCTTCATTTAGAAGAATTATGACGCTTCATGGTGAAAGCCGAGTTCCTTCGGAAGCCACGAGGCCGATGCCCCTTCTAACAACCAGAGCAAAAATTTTTATAGGTACATGGAACGTTCGAACAATGTGGGAAACCGGGAAGACCAGTCAAATATCAATGGAAATGAGGAGATACAACTTAGCAGTACTGGGAATCAGCGAAACCCACTGGACCCAAGCTGGACAGAAAAGGCTAGCTACGGGAGAGATGCTGCTATACTCCGGTCACGAAGAGGACAATGCTCCACACACTCAGGGAGTCGCTCTTATGCTGTCCAAAGTAGCACGAAATGCACTTGTAGGATGGGAATCTCACGGATCCAGAATCATCAAAGCATCATTCAAAACAAAGAAGGAGGGGATCTTAATGAATATTATCCAATGTTATGCACCCACCAATGATAGCAACGACGACATTAAAGATCAGTTCTACGAGCGGCTGCAGTCAGTGATAGAGAAATGCCCAAGAAAGGACCTCACCATTCTAATGGGAGATCTAAATGCCAAAGTCGGAATAGACAACACTGGATATGAAGATATTATGGGACGACATGGACTGGGAGAAAGAAACGAAAATGGAGAAAGATTTGCAAATCTATGCGCATTCAACAAATTGGTCATAGGAGGCACAATATTTCCACACAAGCGTATACACAAGGCTACATGGATCTCACCGGACCACACTACAGAGAACCAAATAGATCATATTTGCATCAACAAAAAATTCCGAAGGACAATGGAAGATGTGAGAACCAGGAGAGGTGCTGACGTAGCTTCAGATCACCACCTAGTTGTAGCCAATTTGAAACTGAAGCTAAAAAAGAACTGGACAAGTGGACAAACAGCAATACAAAGGTTCAATACAGCCTTCCTTCGAGATACTGTCAAACTCAATGAATTCAAGATAGCTCTCAACAACAGGTTCCAAGCCTTACGAGATCTACTGAAAGAAGAAGAAACTACTATGGAGGACAACTGGAAAGGCATCAAGGAAGCATTAACTTCAACGTGTCAAGAGGTTCTCGGTCTAAAGAAATACCATCATAAGGAATGGATCTCTACAGAAACAGTGGACAAGATCAAAGAAAGGAAGAACAAGAAGGCAGCAATAAACAACAGCCGAACACGAGCAGAGAAAGTCCAAGCACAAGCTGAATACATAGAAGCAAACAAACAAGTGAAGAGGAGCATTAGAGCCGACAAGAAGAAATACGTGGAAGAACTAGCAACGACGGCAGAAAAAGCTGCTAGAGAAGGAAACATGAAACAGCTTTACGATACAACGAGGAAACTATCAGGGAAATACAGTAAACCAGAGAGGCCGGTCAAAGACAAAGAAGGCAAGCCAATCACCGAAATTCAACAACAACGTAACAGATGGGTAGAATACTTCGAAGAGCTCCTGAATAGGCCGGCTCCAATGAATCCACCGAACATCGAAGCAGCACACATAGATCTTCCTATAGATGTCAATCCACCAACTACGGAAGAAATTAGAATGGCCGTCAGACAAATCAAGAACGGGAAAGCAGCGGGACCCGACAACATACCAGCTGAAGCACTGAAATCAGACATCGAAACAACCACAAGCATGCTTTATCTTCTATTCAAAAAGATTTGGGAGGAGGAACAAGTGCCGATGGACTGGAAAGAAGGACACCTCGTCAAGATTCCAAAGAAAGGAGATCTGAGCAAATGTGAAAACTACAGAGGCATAACACTACTGTCAATACCAGGGAAAGTCTTCAACAGAGTGTTGCTGAACCGGATGAAGGATGCAGTAGACGCCCAACTTCGAGATCAACAAGCTGGATTCCGTAAGGATCGGTCGTGCACAGACCAAATTGCAACACTACGGATCATCGTCGAACAATCAGTTGAGTGGAACTCATCATTATACATCAACTTCATTGATTATGAAAAGGCATTCGACAGTGTAGACAGGAGGACGTTATGGAAACTTCTTCGACACTACGGAATTCCTGAGAAGATTGTCAATATAATCCGGAACTCATACGACGGACTACAGTGCAAAGTAGTGCATGGAGGACAGCTGACAGATGCATTCCAAGTAAGGACCGGAGTCAGACAAGGCTGTTTACTCTCTCCCTTCCTTTTTCTCCTGGTGGTCGACTGGATTATGAAGACCTCAACATCTGAAGGAAAACACGGAATACAATGGACAGCTCAGAATCAATTAGACGATTTGGACTTCGCAGATGACCTAGCCCTCCTATCACGTACACACGAACAGATGCAGATGAAGACAGCCAGTGTAGCAGCAGTCTCTGCATCAGTAGGCCTCAGCATACACAAAGGGAAAACTAAGGTCCTCAAATTCAAAGCGGAGAACAGCAATCCAATCACACTTGATGGCGAAACTCTGGAAGATGTAGAATCCTTCACATATCTGGGAAGCATCATCGATGAACAAGGAGGCTCAGATGCAGACGTAAAGGCGAGGATCGGCAAAGCAAGGGCTGCGTTCCTACAGTTGAAGAACATATGGAACTCAAAACAACTTTCAACCAATATCAAAGTGAGAATCTTCAATACGAACGTCAAGGCAGTTCTACTGTATGGAGCTGAAACCTGGAGAACTACAACAACCACAATCAAGAAAGTACAAGTATTTATAAATAGCTGTCTTCGCAAGATACTCAACATCCATTGGCCGGATACCATCAGCAACAGCCTTCTGTGGGAGAGAACAAACCAACTTCCAGCTGAAGAAGAAATTAGGAAAAGACGATGGAAATGGATAGGACATACATTACGCAAATCGTCAAACTGCATCACGAGGCAAGCCCTAACTTGGAATCCTGAAGGGAAGCGAAAAAGAGGAAGGCCAAAGAACACATTGCGTCGGATAATAGAAGCAGATATGAAAACGATGAATTACAACTGGACGGAGCTAGAAAGGATTGCCCAGGACAGGGTTGGATGGAGAACGCTGGTGAGCGGCCTATGCTCCTTCACGAGGAGTAACAGGCGTAAGTAAGTAAGTAAGCATAGCAACGGCTCCTGATAGACTAACGTCTGGGAACTTTCCTTAGGGACGTGAGTGATATACCCACTTACCAACTAAAGGACTACTACGATATGCAGCGGTCCGCTCCATTATACTTTATGGGTGTGAAACATGCCCTTTAAAAAAGGAGAATATTCTTAGGTTACTAGTATGTGATCATAGGTGTCTTCGAAACATTAGTAGTGCATTTTGGAACCAACGAGTGAGCAGTATTGATGTCAGGCTTGGAGTAATAGGTAAAGATGAAAAACTGGTCGATGAAGTGGTAAGTCTTCACCAACTAAGATGACTGAAACATGTGTTAAGTGCTCCCACCCAACGTTTATTTCGACCAGCAATGTCGCTCAGCGCATGAGTACGTGAAGAGCAGACTAGAGAAAACCAGGCTGGTTTTCGACCTCGACGTGGTTGTAAAGACCAGATATCCACACTACGTCAGGTCCTAGAACATCGACATACATTCAGACACCCTACAGTCAGTATTTCTCGACCTTAGGGCGGCATTCGAATTTGATGATCGTGAAGTTCTGTGGCAGTGTTTGTCACTGAAAGAAGTACCTAAGAAGTACATTAAACTTGTAAAGGCTCTCTACTCGAACACAAGTGGTCGAGTGAGAGCTTATGGAGAACTGTCATCAGAATTGATTACCTCAAGTGGTGTTCGTCAGGGCTGTCCACTCTCTCCATTCTTGTTTAACTTTGTCGTTGACGTGCTTTAAGAGATGACACTTTCCTCATCTAAATTTGCAGGGCTTGAACTTCTACCGGGAGATTCACTTTTTGACCTAGAATATGTATTTATTTATTTGAACACATAAATCTTGGTACAAGAGAGCGGAAATATATATGCGCCACACAAAACAATGAGAATTCGAAGATAAAAAAAAGGTAAGGAGCGTAAAAAAAAGAGAACAATAGCGAAGAGATTGGTGTAAGTTAGTGTAGTAATAATAATAGTAATAATGAGGGAACGGAAAGGTACGATCAGAAGAAATCGTTCAGTTAAGAGAGACACAACCACTTTTTATGAAGAAAGTAAAACAAGGTTACAGCAGGATCGCCACTGGCTTCTATTCTGAGCCATATCTGATAACGTCTCTAGCCACTGTGTAGCACCATCTCTCAGACCCCAACCAGGGAGTCGTGAAGGACCAACAGAGGCCAGTCCTTTGCAGCTTTCTTTCATACCACTACACCATGTCATGCACTGACCACCTCTCCGCTTTTTCCAAACAGTCCCAGAGTCGGCAAATAATGCACGACGTGGAATTCTCTGGGACGACATTCGGAGAACATGTCCAAGCCACCGAGGTCAGTGTTTCAAGATGGTAACATCAACTGCATTATCATCTCTGTGCCCGAACACACGATGCCGAACCTCTGCATTACTAACATGGTGTTGCCACTGAATGTCAGCAAACCTTCGGAGACAGACCACCAAATGCCCTGGTACGATCGAGAGTGGGGAGAGTCCGCTCTCCCTCTCGAAATACTCTCACACGGCCACGCGTATACAGCCTCTGCCAAGGAAGTTCTACTCACTGCCTTCTCGTGGTGGGGGTGTTGTTTATGAAAATGAGAGGACGAAAAGCGAATGTCCGGCGAATAAACCGGACCCCAAACCAACGGTGAACATGGGCTCCAGTATCCTGCGGGAACAAATGGCGTATGAACCAATCGTTGGTCACCGGCTACCATGAGACTGCATCTCCTCACGATGCTCCACTGCCTTGTGGGTGAGACCTTTAGGTCAAAGGCTCGGGGTGTGGCCCCCTAAGATAACCACTTGCTTTGGTCTGGGCACCCGGGCAGTATCGCAGCCCACACACAAATATGGTGAACTGCCTATAATTATGGACCTAGAATATGCTGATGATATAGTTCTATTTGGTGAAGACGCTGACAAAATGCAGTCTTCTGATCACTATAAGCAACAATGCAAGCATGTTCGGCATGCGATTCTCTTCCTCGAAATGCGAAATGTTGCTTCAGGATTGGGTTGCATCGACACCCGAAATAACGATAGGGAGTGAAGTAGTTGAGTGTGTCGACCGCTTCACTTATCTTGGAAGTCTCATCAGCCCTTGTGATCTGGTGTGTGACGAAATCTCAGCACGGATACGGAAGGCTCGACTAGCTTTTACCAACTTGCGTCACTCATGGCGTAGGCGAGATATCCGCATATCAACCAAAGGACATGTTTACTGCGCAGCAGTTCGTTCCTTCCTACTTTGTAGCAGTGAAACATGGTCGGTAAGAGTAGAAGATAAACCTAGGTTACTAGTATCTGACCATAGGTGTCTTCGAAATATTGCTCGTATATCATGGGACCATCGTGTAAGTAATGTAGTTGTTAGGACACGGGTACTAGGTAAGGATGGCAAATCAATTCATGAAGTAGTGAAACCTCATCAGCTGAGACGGCTGGGACATGTGTTACGTATGCCTAACCACCGACTGCCTCGACGTGCGATGTTTTACGGTGTAGGAGTAGGTTGGAAGAAAGCTAGGGGCCGCCAGACCAAAGCATGGCACAAATCCACGAAGTCACTGACAAATGGACTGATCCATGTTGGTAGGTGTAGACTACATGGTTGGGATTTACGAGACGATAGCAACCGATGGTTAGAGACCCTGAATGACATGGCTCAAAATCGTTTGCAATGGCGCAGGTGCATCTACTCTTTGTGTTCTCCCAAATTCTAATTTACTGAATTCCTCATGTCCCTTTCTTTTTTCTCTTTCCAAATTTATTTCGCTGGATTATACTCCTTGAATAACATCTTCAAATCCTAATGTTTCCGACTACTGCTTATACTCTTACCACCTCTACCACTACGGGATTTGAATCGACAACTGCATCTCTGTGCTAATGTGGTGTGGCAACTCGAACTGATGTACGTACGTACGAAGTTCTACGTTGTTACTTACTGACTGACTGGAACAATTAATGAACATTTTGCAAATTAAGCATTAGAGCATGATTTTTCTATCTTACCAAGCAACTGTAAATTTGTGCTAATTATAATTTGGTTTTCTCAACCTGAGTTTTCCTTCAGAAGGTTGTGTGTTCGAATCACATCAGGCTCACCAGTGTAAATCACCAGCGTAGGTGATCTATGTCGAATGATTGGAGGCCTACTGGAGTAAGATGAGAATGTTAACGGGCTATAACAACTCGAACCGATGTACATATGTACCAGGCTCTACGTTGCCTTGAATGCATGATTGATTGTTAGCCTTCTATACCACTGCACAAAATCTATCCTTCATTATGAAGATCTGAAGTTGAAGTTTTAAGTGTTGTTAGTTTCTGATTAACTTACGTACTAATCACTAGTTACTTCTTAGATCATTAACAGAACATGGACGTAAGATATATCTTGATCTTTTTTCTGTTGACGAATTCATATGAGACAGAAATAGCGCATAAATTAAACCACGAAACATAACTACAGAACAAACGTTGAAATAATATATCAACATAATATGAGAAGAGAACTAGGTGGATTTCTTAACAAACTAGTGATAGTCGCTAAGTAATTTGCAAGGTAACTAACCTGAAAAGAAACAGCATCTAAATTTGAATAACCAACGAATAGTAAGTTGTTTTGAATTGTGTAGATCATTCCGGGGACGGAGACTAAAAGACAATCCTTCGGATCTTTCAATATATTTTCCCATAAACTGTGTATACAAGAGACAAAAGAACATTTCTCTTCGAAAAAAACAAGTAGAAAACAGACTAAAAGTTTCACTAATTCACTCATCACCACTGCTGTTGTAGGAAAATACAAATCTCCTTTTCTAGCACGAGAATATCGAGTCACAAGGACAACAGCGGCATTTTGTACAACTAAAGATAACAAAGCAACACGTCCAAGGAACAAATCACCTATGACAATTAACAAGCGTGTAAAAAGCACATCTTACTCTGTAGGATTTTATATTTGTCTATCCACAAAACCATTTGACTACGCGATTGACAAAAACAATGAAAATGTCCCACCAAAAGTATCAATAACCTAGAAAAGAATCAAAGCTAGAAAGTTTATGCACGAGCAAAGGTTCAATGTCTCACGAACGACAAGAAACAGTCATATTTTGCTAAGCAACTACATGCACGCTCGCGTAACCAGGTTTGAGCTACATTATAAGCATAAGGGAGAGTGATTATACCTGGATGTCCAAATAGAGGTAGGCAGACCAAGGTTAGTACCTGCAACTTAGTGGTTGAAAGTCACAACACACTGCTACCTTTAAATCACGTAACAATATCACCACCAATACTTAGGCAGGTGTAGACAACGTGGATGAAATACTTTGAGTGGAGTACCACGGAGCATCTTAAGGTTTGAGGGAAGGGGCGTAACACAATACTGGGTTGAGAGTTGGTTGCTTCTAAATCATGTTATACAACACATGGGTTGAACGAGCAAACAAAAAAGGGGAAATTTTGCGAAAAATCCAGTGTGAATAATCGTTAATGCATTATAATACCGCCTCTTCCCCTATCTGAGATAAATAGGGCGTACGTACTTTTTCCACAACCACATTATCGAAGGGAAATGTTGAGTATACTCACCAACATTAGCACCAATTTGTTTACTTTTCCCGAAAATTATCACTAGCATGTCTGCTTTCCCCCAATATTACCACTCAAGTGACTCCTCAGAATCAACACTAAATTGTTTTTTTCAGTACTAAATAGTGAAGTGCTTTATTTTTAGCAAGACTTAAGCCTTGCTAAAACTGTTCAGAACGTTGTTTTGTACTGTTCCTCGAAAATAAAGTTTAAAATGCCATTTTAAACAAATACTCCAACGTGTGCAAACTTAGCGTCATCACATACCTGCAACGCTCCTAGGGTATCGTCCACTGATGGGGGTTGCGAGCACTTGAAGGTCGAACTGTCGAAAAATGATTGGTGCGTCACATCGACAATTCCTGAAAATTTTCAGAAGCGGTCAAATCAAGACATTTTTAGATTTCAATTGAGTTCAGCCACACCATATCTGGTAACGTTCATTCTTCAAGTAACGAAGACGATGACATCGTGATGATGCATGATATAGGACGAATCTTCAATGATATTATGTTATCTCGAAGATTTACAAGTTGGGACAATTTTGGGTCCTGTTTGAAAGAAGTCCCAGGCTTCCAACTTTGGGGAAAATTGAGTCCATTTTGGGGAAGCCGCTATAATAAATTTTGGGGAAATAAGAAAAAAAACCCAAAATTTCCCCAGACCTGGGGAACTTTGGGGAAATCCCCAAAGTTAACTGAAGTTACTGGTAATGCAACTGACTACTGAATTCTTGTAAGTAGTATAAAACAATATACAAAAGCACAAATACACTATGGTGACGTCTGTTAAAGCCTGCGAAGCCGGGTGAAAGGGGAACGGACACGATAGTTATATCATTTTGAGGAAGCTTCCCCAAACCTTTGGGTTTTCCTGGAAAACTGTTTTGACGCAAAAGCTTCTCGAAAGCCTATCGACATCACGGAAGACCTAGGAGTATGCTTACGTACATTTCTTACTGCGACGTTTTATTACTTTTCGTCAATCGCGCATTGCTAATGAAACCTAATGTTAACCGATTTGTCGCGATTATCAAAAGACTGATTTATGAAATATAAAAATGTTTATTACAGTTAATAAAATTACAAATGAATCATTTATACAAAGTTTTTCATTGCGTTGTAACATCAACACCTTACGTAGACGTAGAACTGTCATTGATAATGTTCTAAAAAATAAATAAATAAATCACTTTTAGTGTATAATAACGTGTCAAGATATGTGAAAGTTTGGTGATGTACCAACAGTATAACAATCTTCTTAATAATGCGAACAAAGAACTTACAGTTACGTCTGATAAAGCCTGCGAAGCCAGCTGAAAGGGAAACATACAAGAGACAAGTTATATTACTTTGAGTATTGATCACAAAGTCATAAGCTGTTACAGTAATTAAAGTACAGTGATTATAGTGATAAATATAATGATAATTAACATTCTGTGAATTTTGGGGAAAACCCCAAATTGAACTTCAGTTATTGGGAATACAACTGAATACTTCATTTTATTAAGTGGTATTAAACAATATACAAAACAGTAGGAAGGGGAACGAGTAGGAACAATGTGTGACAAAGTTAACATATGTATTATAACAAACAAATTAAGTAGTTTTAGCTCACCCTTTCTTTGGATCGCCATCCACGTTTATGTAGTTTATCTCTTGAGTCATGCAAGAAGGCCTGGCTTGCTGTAGCCATGGCGTGCGTGATCTCCGTTTCCGAACAGGTCGCACTCCGGAAGTGTGAACACAAAGCAACTAATTTAACTGTTAAATGTAGGTGATACTTATCTACATTAATACCTACTGTCAGCAACTCCTGTAACTCTGTTATAAGTGTTGCTGACATGTCGTTGAAATCAGATGGTTTTACTTCACCACCGTAGATCCCAACTACGAAAACACTACTAACTAGTGGAGCTACTATACGACCTAGGATCGGCCACAGCTGTTGGTTAGAGCTTTTGAACAAACTTAGACCATCGTAGTTTAACTGCAACTGCAATTCGTTGAAACGGATTCGACGAAGCCAATGTCCTGAAATTCTCAAAAGACTGGATTTCAATCCTAAATGGTAATACGTTCCAGAATCTAGGATCTTAGGCTCCACGTCGTTGCATCGACGTAGAACACTTCGGACGGACGTTGGAAGTTCTGGATACCGCGCACGAAAAATGTCCAGTATTTGATCAGCCTTCTTTATGCTTATATAACCACCTTTCATCATTTCAATGACCATTTTGTCTAACTCGTCTTTCACCGAAAGATGAATGGTTGGGGACATTTCTGAAATCACACAACGTATAAAATTTTAATAATTAAACAGATTATACCGTTGATTGTGTTGTCTGAACACTGGACGTGACTACATGAAGCAGTAGCTGTATCTGTGACAATATTAGCCCACTGCTCTGTAGCTACGGTAATACGCGATTCTGTGACGACAACTGGATTGTCTGTCTCTTCGTCACAGCTCGGTAACTGACACTTCTTTATAAACTGTGCTTTCATTTTCCTCAACCTTCTGTAATAGGTTGATCGGGAACAGCCAAACAACCTAGGGTATTTAGTGTCTGCTGCCCGCCTTTTCGCAATCTTATCGAGCTTTCTATTATTATTCTGAAAGAAATAATTCACTTAAGTAAAACTGAACATAGACAGCAACCAAATTCCCTGACCTGCACTGCAAACAACTCACCTCCATAGCTTTCAAATTTTGAAAAAGTGCTTTACAACCGACAACTCTTTGTCTACTTATTGTTGATGTATTAAAACAAGACCTGGAATTCCAAAGATTATCCCTCATCAAAAGTCTGTATTGAATTAAAATGTAAATTTCTCCATTCAAACTTACTACTGTGAGGCTTATTTATATTATGTCGATGAAATGTTAATGTGCAAAAATACGCTACGGCAATTTTGGGGATTTCCCCAAAATTTACCCAAAGATTGGGGAAGGTTTTTCACTTTGGGGATTTCCCCAAAATTTCCCCAGAATTTCCCAGAATTTCCCCAAAGCTGGCAGCTTGGGGTACATAAGATATATGACTTCTGTGGTTAATAATTATTTTTTAGTATACGCATACTAAGTACGCTATGTCACTATGCAAAAAGAACAATGATGATCCAACTCTAAAGTACTTTTTCGTGAGATATGTCTGTACATATGGACGTAAACGCAGTTCGTCAGAGTCAGATGCTTGCTTTCAGGATGTAGATGATGATAGTAATAATCATTCTTCTGAGCATACAACTTCTTACTCGCCAACACAACCTAGGCAAAGGAGACGACGTCGGTCATGTACGCGTACATGCCATACGCGTATGCCTTAGTTCAAATGAATTTATCCTTCAGGTCGAAATATTGCCATTGTCAATCAGGATTATGGGTCCGGGCAGTAAATGGTGAGTTGAAACTCACCTCTATTAAAACCGTGCACAACCATCCTTGCACAGAAGGATATATTTCTGTCGATCCATCGGAACGACAGTTGACGTCAAGTGAACGCTTGTATTTAGGAACGTTTCTACTGAGTAATACACCAACTCGTAGCTTACGGTATCTGGTTTCTTGGAAGTTCAATAAACAGCTTACCAAGGACGATATCGCCAGAATGCGTACACAGCTGTACCCAGGTTGTTGAACTCACATTGTAATTAATTGAGTTTAGACTAAAAATATCAATGACATCTTACAGCGCATTCAAGCAAATACTGAAGTATTCAATGAAAATGGGAACATGTCTATGATTTGCTTCAGCTGCAGAGAGCGAATAGCTGTTTACCACGCGTTCCCGGAGGTAATATGTATTGATTCGACTTATCAGACCAATAAAGTCGGGTAAGTAACGATTAGTAATAAATTTATCTGAAAGCTTTCCACTGTTCCAGCTAGTGGTGACTGATAGTCTTGAGCAAGGGCACACTGTTATGTATGCTCTTTGCAGTCAAGAACGACGCGAAGATGTCGAAAAACTATTGGAATGTTTTAAAGAGATAATGTGCGGTACTTATGCTACACGCACTTTCATTATGGATTCGGCAGCGACCGAAATTTCAGCTGTGCAGTCTACGCACAGTCATTCTAACATAATACTTTGTTCATTCCATGTCCCGAGAGCGTTTTTCAGGAAGATATGTGTTAGCTGTACAAATTATTTTCTGTAGTTCTGAAATCCTGATGTGCGCAAATGCTTGGAACACCTTGTGAAGACTAGACGGTCTGATATGTGAGCTTCGCTTTTCATAACGCATTATAATATTCAGATTTACTCGAAAGTACGAACATCTAAGGACGCATTTCCCACGGACGTATGATTACATAGAAGATTACTGGATTGCCAGGAAGTCAATGTGGGCTCGCTGTTACCGGCGACATGTATTAAGCCTGGGCAACCACACAAACAACCGTGTCGAAAGTGCTCATAAACACCTAAAAGAATGTCTCAGAAGAGGTGATTCCCTGCTGTTGACGTTCTGAAAAATTTGGAGTAAAACAGACATTGACCTACGTTTGCGCCCATATGACGCTGTAAAGGATCTTCAACGTTTTCCAATTCTTCAGGTAAGAAATATAGTTAAATGTATCATTAATTCCAGGTTTCAATATCATTTCGAACTCTTCTAAATGAGTTCACATCTTTTGCAGCTAAAATTGTAGCTGTAAATTATAGACGTGTTCGGACAATGAGACACGAATTTATAGAAGGAGAATACATCCGGTGCTATGACAAGGGTATGATGTATGTTGTTGATACTTCACCTGCATGATGTGCTTGTGAGCGTCTCAATGACTACATGCTGCCCTGTGGTCATATTTTGTATGCACATTCTAAAGATCTGATCCGTGGAGGTATGTGTGTTCCTTTATCTCTATAAGTTTTGTAGACTTATTTCGACATAGCAACCGGTGGACAAGAAAATATATAATGGACCTGGTTCTTCGTGCGCTGGACAACATCTCAATCTCTGCAGAGAGTGATGATATGCTAGAGAAGTTCACTGGCAACTACCACTCAATCCATGCTGAGAATTCTATATTGTACCAAAATATAATATTGAATAAAGCCATTAATAATAGTGAACCTTTGGCAAGTAAACTCATCCGTTCATGCTTCGAAGCATCGGAAGACATATGCGCACAGGTAATGAGTTCAATCGGTGCTAATGATGAAGCTACAACGTCAGAATCCATTGTCAATACAGACCATAGCTATGCTTCTTGATAACAAGAAGTTCTAATATTGTAATCTTTTTAGTTTTACATAAATTCATTTATATGGCTATTGACTTATTCTTATAGCGTAACGGCAGGGAGTGTACTGTGCAGTCTTATGTGGCTGTGAGACAGGGATGTTGTTTCGCGTTCTTGTGTAATAATTACCAGTTTGGCGCACACGCGATTAGTCATACATACCGTTTACCAAATACTGCTACCTTGAACATGGTGTACCATACTAGTAGTTCGAATTTCGACCTGTCACGATAGATAATAATTGCTGTAATTAAAAGACTGGTGCGTTATAAATGAAAACGTTTATTAAAGTTTGGATCTAGAACAAATGATCGATTAATAAATAACTTCTATTTCTTAGGAATTGTTACCGTTAGGTCTGTGAACACTTGCGAAGCTAGCTGGAAATAAGATAGACAGGAAAGTTATTTCTGAGCATATTCCGAAGAACTTGACGCAGCGAGGGACTAAAGCTTCCAACAGTGCAATAGCTCGGCATCTACTTGATACCGGGCATACCGTCGATATTCTGCACGCGTTTAAAATTACCAATACACAAAGAAGTTCTACCACTCTCCGCTTTGCTGAAGCCATTGCAATTAAGAAACTGAAACCGGATTTATGCATTCAAAAAGAGACTTTAATAAACTTATCACTACCCTGGTAATCTCTTTTGTTTCCGTTTGTGTTTTGGTTATTTGGTTATTTTACTCATTTACTTATTTTATGATATTTTATACTCCCCCCCTATTACCTAATTCTTGAACTAAAATTTTATTCACACATTTCCACCACCCGATCCTCTTAAATTATCTTAACTTTCCAAATTCTATTTAATTATTATTACGTAATCTAACTGACGAGAAACCTCGAATAATATGAACTCATACTATTCTGCATCAATGTTTGTTCTTGCTCTCTTTAAAGTTATTTCAGTATAAATGTTTACCAGAAACTAGGTCTGGCAAGCTTATTTTGTAAATAGTTTTTAATATTATTGGTATTTATTTTGTCAATTTCTCACTACATGTACATTTATCATTAAATGATTGTACCTGTTGTTCTAGTAAATGACCTTGACCACTCTCTCCGTTGTGATACTAACATAGCGTGACACACTTTTGGTTGTTCGCAAATACACTATTACACACGCACGCTCCTTGTTCTATTCTCACGCGTTATCGAGCTGATCGCATTCTAAACCAAATGTTATCCACATTTTAGACTGCTGTGCCATTTCTATTACACCCTACGTCAAAGAAACTTACTGGAGTCGTATTTACCTCATTGGAATTATTACTCATTTATAATTGTGGATTTTTGGGACCAAAACTCAACGAAACACGCAACAACTAGCTGATTTAAGTAACGTCCCTAAACTTTTATTTTGTGTTACTAATTTTAAAATTGTTATTGTTACATTAACTTTTGGACGTAATAACTTTATCGCTAATTTTTGGTTATTATACTTTTTGGTCCACCACAATAAAAACGGAAACCAGTATTCAATTACAGATCAAAAGTGCATTTAGCACACCCTTCCTTTGGATAGTCAATCACGCTTATTTCCTTTATCTCTTGCGTTGCTTAGGAAAGTCTGGGTCACAACATACACGGATTGTATTATTTAATTCTTTGGATAGGTTGCACTTCGTAAACTTAGACGATGAACATATATAAAGACTACTGTGTGAATTTACTTTGAATCGTCCTGTGTAACCTGCAATTCTTGATGCATATTCTATTTTAGTCCCACGTAAGTTATGAGTAATTGTCATTTACGGCATCAGCACGTAAGCTAGACAGGCCTTGGTTGATTTCCGAGGATCATCACATAGGATCTCACACAATCTGGTCACCTTAGATCAAGATATCTTGACTATCGAATCGTAATTTTCAGTGTTTTCTCGTGACAGCTTTATATCAATTCTTATTTCTGCTATTAGGTATTTTTGCAATAATACCGGCAGCCAAAACATTGTAGCTCTACACAAGAGGTAGTAATGCTATCTTAGCTTGGTCTCTGGTAAATTCATCACATAATTATACCTCTTCCGCATGATTATGATTTATTTCCTGCAATATAATAATTTGGTGGCTAATGCATCTAACTGTAGGAGGTGATATTAACATCTTGGTAAGTGTTATTATCATCGGCGAGACTCTAATTTAGGGACGAGCCAATCAGAAGCGTTTGAGCAATTTCAAGGTCACGGAGCCAAGTTCAACACGCGCCGCTAACATACGATCGGTTTACAGCGGATTTTAGAGAGTGGGTGATTAATGAGAGGTTACAACAGATAGGACGGCGAGACTCTAATCTAGGGACGAGCCAATCAGAAGCGTTTGAGCAATTTCAATTATTAGTCAATCAGAAGACAGCATAAAGTAAAAATAAATTAAAAGAAAGTAATAAATTACAGTAGATATTCTTCTTTGACATGATTTAAAAACTCGTATGTTAGCATCCTAACCCTAACCTTAACCCTCACCTAACT